TTTTTTTTTTAATTTAGCGAATGGATTTGCTGTCCTCAGTGAAATTCTGATTTTTTTTAAAGCAATTGAATTCAGTTGGGACAGACTCGAGTTGTGTTCACATGAGCACCAAGGGCAGGTTCATGTCTGTCCCAACACACCTTGGGCCAGGCTGTCATACACTGCAGGCTGCCTCCCTGAGATCTAGAAACCTGATTTGCGGTTGCTGATGGTTATCCATACTGCGGGCGTAGAGAGAAAACTGGATACTTCTGTCCCTTTGAAAGGTTTTCTTTTTAAGGTCCCAGTCCTTTCTCTTTCTCTCTCCGTCTCGCCACACTTGAACAGAACACTCCCTCTGAACTCCCTGACAGTGTTACAGTTTTTCAATCCAAAAAAATAATCATTTCATTTATCGATTTGTTTGGCAGACATCAGGGTAGTGGGCAGCTTACTTTACGTACATAGGTTACAGACGTGCGGTGCTGGGAAGAGCATTGCTAATATGATAGTTGCAGGTATTTTATAATACAGTACCGTCCACGTAAGAGCACAGGGGCTCACCATGCCTGATATTAGCCTGCATGTAATCCCTTCCCTGTGTATGTGATGCTGGTCCGTCCATTGAACAGATCTCCCCCAGAAATGATGCTCCCCATTTATCCAGCTGGGTGGACTGGATCAACTGGGTTGCGGTAGCTCTGGAGGCACAACAGCAGTGTCTGGAGCAAGGACCCAGACCCACAACCCACCAGTTACAGTATGAATCCAGAGGCTCACCATCTCCCGTGTGCCATCTCCAATTCATGCTCAATACAAAACAGTCACTTTTGGAAACGTCCCATCAGAGGAAATGCACAGCGAGGAATGAGGCTCGATGAGTCCAGAGGATTCAAATCAAAAGGCTGGCGCTGTAGCTGGTCAACATGAGGTAAAGCATGAGTTCTTGTTGACAGGGAAATTAGCTGTGTATCGTTGCTCTCAGCGCTATTGAGAGGTGCTGCGATCCAGCAGTCCGCCGCTAACAGCTCAGTTGTCTCTGGAAAGGTGCAGAGACGTGCAAGAGCCGGCTGTTTGTCAGCGATAACCATCTCAGCTGTTGATGTCAAGGAGGTTAAAAACCCTCAATTTGTGCTGCTGCAGCTGATCTGGTGTCAGATAAGGCCGGAGAGATCTGCCGTTAGGACTGCGTGTGTTGCCGAGGGGAGTGCTTTCGAACGGAGGGTGACCTAACTTCTGGAAAAAATGATCTTGCCTTCCTTTGTCTTTGATATAAGACTGCGTCTTCCGACACCCAGCTGGGCCTGTCAAAGACTGTGGGGGCCGTTTTTGAGCCATTCACTGGCTGTGCGCTCTGCGGACTAGACTGGCTATTTTGCATTTTGACTTAAGAATGCATACATGGCCCAGTGAGAAAAAATAAGTGCTGACCATCTTAACCCCAAGGTGCACGGCCTTGAAGGAGATTCTATAGGTCACTTTGAATCAGCAGTAGCCCATGACCTTTGACCTCTGATCTTGCTTTCAGGTTTGGTATGCGGTAGACTCCTGTGTGTCATTTTTTATACAAATCTGTCCATTTGTGTTCTTTGTGAATTAGAATGGTGCAGATGCCTGCCCATAGCTGTCTATAATCGACTAGAATGATTGAGGGGAAATATTACACACTACTGATTTGTGCTTTTTACCTCAAAATGTATTTTTGCCACATTGAACGTGTTTAAAGGTGGGGGCATAGCTCACACACGGTTTATACAGAGCTGACAGCTGCTGTACTGTAGTTAAACAAGATTTTTTACATTACAGTGGAGTCACCTCTGTTGTTGACAACTGTGCAGGAGCTGATAACTGAGCCACTGACTTAGATGCCCAGTGAAACACGCAAACTGGCACACCCACACACACAGAGGCACCTGTGGGCGGTGCAGTTGGTGTTAAAATTAGCAAGCGGAGAGAAAACAAAGCCAAACGCGTTCTTCACCAGTTGCAGTCTGGGACAGAAGAAGAAATTTAAATTCTGAGAAGCCTTGACAGCAATTTGATCCCAGGTGAATGTTTCAGACTGAAGAGTTAAGTTTTCTGATCTTTTTAGTAACAAGTTGCCCTCGAGACAGGTTCTGACACTTAACAAATTAAGCCGTTTGTGATGAATTGTCTTGGCTCTTTTGCCACAGTGGTCATTGATTAACAGAGTGCAGCTATTTGCTGACAAGTTAGCTGAACTGACATCAGCAATTGGTTTCCAAGAAAGACACCTAAGCTTTAAAAAAAACTGACACCGAAAAAGTGTTCTAGTTAAAATCTCAACGACGAGTGTGCAGGTCTGTGGTAGCGTACTGAAGGGAGGTCTGCGTGTGATGAGGATGGCGGCTGGCTCAGAGGGGAATTCCGCTGTGGCAGCTGACGGTTTATTACAGTATGTTGTACTCAAAGCCTGTTTTTTCGGTTGGGCCCGGAGGCCGGTGATCCACGGCTGGATGGCTTCACATGAAGGTCTGTGGATTTTTCCGTTTAGTGCAACAACAGTAC